CTCTTAGCGTCGTGCTAGTTTACATTGGACAGCTGGTCGAGCTAAGTTTGTGTAATCTACAAATCGATTTCAAGGAGCAGAATGTAGATAGCATAGTCTGGTGCGCAATACCATGGAGCTTACATAGTGATGTGAATCGCGGCCGAATAATAATACGAAGAGGCAGATGCCGTTGCTCACCGTCTCGGTATGTCACCGTAGTAGACTCCACTTGAGAAGGTAGCAAGAATATCATGATGAGTACAGCGGTGTAGTGGGCAACACTGTGAAATACATCTGCGTTTGGTAAGGCCTACAACGGTAGGTTAGATGTGACTCATCCGTTCTAGGTTGCAATAAATATACTACTTTGCACCAAGTCAGTGTTTAATCATTCTAGAGTGAAACTGTACCCAAGCGCGACTTACATGCGCGATAGAATAGGGATGACACAGAGAAGATGACGGAGATGGAGTAAGCAACTTTGCAAGTTAGCAGGGCAATGGTGCGATTTAGTCCACTGATTTTTATAAGCTCAGCTATGTTAAAGTCCGTGGTGAAAGAACGTAATTTATAGCTTTGCTAACTTTAACAAAGAAGTCGAGGCACAGTGGAACAGTGATGACTAATCGTTGGTGTGTGCTGTGAATGCCGTCTCCTGTGTTAACTGCAGGCTATCCGTGTCGGAAGGTACGCCAGGGCCTGTCCGGTCGGCTTGTTCGAGGTGAGCGAGAATTCACCTTTATGTGGAACCACCAGACAGTCCATTGTGTGTGACTACTTTTCCCCCTGGTCATTCGTTTTGACCGCTAGGATATCTCGACCAATTCATCAGTGCCTAGAATGCTACCTGTGCCCAAACATTTCGATTTGCATGTCGTCCTGTTGCGGCTGTTCCGGAATCAACCTTGATAACTTGTCTGGATCTCAGTGCGCTTATCTGAAGGCGGCAGCACTACAAGGGGCGTATAGAGGCACTTGAGATGGGATACACTGACCTCATATTGCAACTCCGTCACCGTGTCACGCGAGAAGAAATGTAGTAAGACCCATCTGTTAAGTGAGAACGTAACGAGACACGGACAGATGTTATCGCGACTTGTAATTTGAGCGAGCCCCAGTTTAGGCATCGAGCCAGCACATAATGGTGTCACGCGAGTGAACATGCGATCAGTCTGTCAAGCTGAAGTGTGGTGCTTACAAGTGTTTCAAAATGCCTTCCACTTAGTCATTCAACATGAGATTTCAGTATACATCCCAAAGGTCCCTGGTAACAGTTACAGTACTGCAGCGTTGCGAGCGAGCATTTGTTCACACTTGTGTATGGACTACCACGAATTGGTTGGAGTAACATTGACCCTCATGAGCAATAACACTACGAAAATGCGCGAGTATGAATTGAATGTAAGAATAACAGCCATATTCCTCTAGTTTTGGACAATCGCACGTACAATTATAAGTCACCAATACGACTGTCGGTGGTTTGTTAACGTATGGATGTGAACTTAAATGGCAGCCTTAAATTTACTCAGAAGTGGGTGCATCAACAATAGATAAAGATATAGGAATAGGGCAGCAAATGCCATCAATGGGGTTACCAGGTGGAATGATGCGCAAATAAGAGGTACAGTAAAACAGTGATGTCTTATCGTTTGTGTGTGCTGCAGATGCCGTCTTCTGTATGCCTTAGAAGGCTGTAATATCACACATTCTATGAGAGCCGTTTTGACGTGATCACAGGAACAATACATCTAGTAAATCCCGCTGCGTTCTGTCCTCCTTTCGGCTTTCGAAAAAGTTCTCAAACTGTTTTAGCCAATTTACAAGAAGTAGCTTGCATAACATCCAATTACTCAACTGTAGGCAGGTGTGGCTATATACTCTACTCCGGTGAGAAGTTATTTACGTAAATGACAGACTCATTGGGGGGCTCGAGGGACACATAACAACTCCCCGGTCCAACCAAGCAAAGAATCTGAGACGTTTACTACGGTACAAGTAAACTAAATTGAAATCAAGTGCAATATGTATATCCCTCAGTCCTTGTACGACCGGCTCTTAGCAATACGCAGAAAAAAGCAAATCAGCCCTTATAATAGGTTCAACAACCCTGCGCGATTGGTTCGCTTTAAACCGCATGGAATGGTATGTATATTATGTCTCCGGATCAATGGAGAATGAAGAGAATAACACGAGGAATGACCCCTGTGACTAGTGAATACCTCAAGTGAGTATGTGGTGGGACATCTGGGCGTGTTACACAGTATGCGCACGAACGTATCTAACAACGGGGTTTGGAGTGGAACCACATAGATATGGCTAGAAGTACAGTGAATATCAGATAAGATTATCCCGGGCAAATCTCTTTATCCATGGTGCGGTTTGCAATGAAAATATTGAGTATTGCATAGTTAATCACATGGAGGCAGACTAATAATAGGTATCAAGAGCCTGGGCAGATGGCGCAGATGAGGTGGTTAACTGAACTTATGATCTTCCCATGCAGCCTGCGGTTCTCATGGTAATTTTGCCGCTTACAATTAACTAATAGTCTGTCACCATACATCTCGGTTGCACTTATTCTGCACTACAAATCAATTGTTTCTGTGCGTGGATTTATTTTTCAATAAAATATCTACTTAAACACTACTGTAGCACCACAATTGGTCTAACCTACTTCTTAGTCAGTGCAGATGATTGACCACTTCTAATTCGAATACTAGCAGGCACCTTTGCCCTTCCGCCATTTATCTCGATAATACCTGCATTTTTTAAGCACATCTAAGTTCAGTATGAAGGATAAACAGCAGGAAATATAGCTACACTTACACTCGTGACTAATATGTGGAACAGAACATGTAGTATCAACATCAGGAAAATCGGTAATCAGTTAGTTGCCTGAATTGTTCAGTTTACACAGGCGAGCCAACGTGTGGACAATTGCAACGAATGTTGTTAGACCTTGAACACCGAATTTCCAAACTGCATTCCAAATCGAGGAAACGTTGCAGAGTACTTGGGCTCCAGGGCTAATTGTTGATCACTACACCCAATTCTTCAATCGAATACACCGACAAATGTGAAATATTGTAAGCAGCAAGCGCCTGGTATCCAGGAGTTAACGCGGTCCATGCTCTGCGCATATAGGCATGATTACATGCAAGTGAGCTCTGAATGATCAGAAGGCAGACATAAGAAATCTCCTAACGGCTCAAGTTTAATCCTTTAAGAGTCAATGCTGACTATGCTAACATGTGCCTGTCTTCCGTGAGGACGAAAGTAAATTGAACATCGGGTGGTCCTCACAAACATTGCCGCCATCGATTATCATTTTTCAAATTGCAATACTGAAATGTTCTGTGTCGTACTTGACTACCTCATTCTATTCACAGTTTTTTCGGTTCCAAAACCAGCTGCCACCTCGATCACGACTAGGCTTTCGCCTTCACAGGGCGTCTATCCAGGAAGGATGATTGGCTGAATGAAGGTGCCGAATCCATAGAGATAGGACTTCTACTCATCCTTTGCCTTTCCATAATGGAGCTAGGCTATGGGATTTTTTGGGGAAGCGACCCGAGCATTGTATCTCCCCGCTCCGGCATCATTTTACTTGTGTTGTTTAGGATGTTTCGACGAGTTCTGCCAGCGATATTCTTGAAGACCAGTATTTGTTTTGCATAGTGAATTAACAGGCCCATCCGCTGATGTGTTTTCAACGCTGCAGCATTTTTCAGCTAATATGTAACCAAGTTTTTGGGCGATCTTGGTCTGCTTCCAGTTGAACTCCAAGAAAATTACACAATCTGTTCCATCGCACTCAGAGAATCAGCCATACCCACAGCGAGCTTATTGACCTTGACAAAAGAAAATGCTACTTGGAAGCCCTTTTTCTCATAGTTATGACCTGGCGCTTTGCGGTGCTCAGCTCCATACCGGTTACGTGTGATCCTGAATTCAATCATTCCAGTTTTATTTCCAAACCCAATTTATTATTCACTAACAGTATCGAATCCTCAGCACAAGATACCTCACCTGCATCTTTGTCGTCGAATCTGATTCCTTCTCTCGGTCGGGTGTACGTAAGTAGCTCATCCATCATCATGTTGAAGAACAAAATAAACAGCAACTTGCTTTGACTCACACCATGACAATACTTTGCCTTTGTCTCTTCTAACAGCACCTCAGGATTTGCGTCAATTCGGTTCGAATCAAAATGAGCCTTATGTCTCCAGATAGACACGTGTTCAGCATTTTACGTTACCGACTGCGGATAAGCTAAAACTATAAAATCATATGAGTGAAAAAGAACACGGTTCACATGTGTCTCGTTTGCATGCAACATTTGCACATTTCTGGAGAAAATCATTAATATTTGCATCCTAGGACAGCTGTCTTTGTAACAACGACGGCGCTTCCTTACCGAAAATTTTTCTGATAATTCGATCGAATGTGTTTACGATTCTATTACCAAAGTCAACAAATCACAAATTATATGCAGTATCTCGAGTTTATTTCAATAACAATCAGCTGCGAAGGACGGCATTAGTAACCTTGAAAATAGTATAACCAAAGATTATCGGCATTATTTAGAAACAACTGATTACTCCGCAGTAGATAGTGTAAAAACGAAGTTCTAGTGAAAAAGGCAGCGACCGATTTGAATTCCCCACCACGTGCCGTCTAGTTGGATAAAGGACTAGAAACGGAACTACTTCATGGTAGATGAACGCAGGTACAATCGTTTTTTGCAGAACCATATGTCTACCACACACCCGCTCGCTCAGAATGTGTTACGCAACGCATACGGGACTTTTAAGCATAGATCTGTCCACAGAAACCCGACTTAATGGATCGCCGGTGTCTAGCGATCGCCTTTATGCGGCATACATAAGACAATCGACGCAACGGCCGTCATTCCGTTGTTTACTAGGTTTGCTAAATATTTACTGGTTATTTCTCCATGGCTTTTTGGGTTTTCTCACTTCACCGATCCTCCTCTGTTTTTCTCCTTTCCTTTGCAGTGGACTTCATATTGCTGCTACTGAGAATAAAACCCAAATCCATCCGTGGAGCCACCCCACACACCTCGTCAATGGACATTACGCTCCCAACACTGGACCCAAGTTTACGCGGAGTCCTACTAATCTGATTCAACCAGAGAGTAAACCTCAAGTGACTCGGATATCACGTGCATCAGCTTCACATGATACTTGTGAAAGCATCCTGGGAGGAGCAGTATGCTTTCGGGCGCAATCCGCCGCAACGATTCGCACCGAACAAACTAAATGTGGTACCTCTTCCAACGGCTATTCTCATACCCCCATTTACTCCGACGACTCTGTTCGGCTACAGTACAGGCGTTCTACACCTTGCTCTACACGGCCAAGTAAAGGATCAAAGACTTCCAGCTCCGTTAAGGAGGAGGGAAACTCTGTTCGCACTTCTCTCATGCACTTGCGCGCTGAGCGTAAAAATCATGAAACATGTTCGGCGAGACGTTATACTTTCAAATACTCCGATTCACCACATTCATTTGACTGGGTTCAGCAAACTAAACCAACCTACTTCCAAAGGAAAGCTAGTGCGCCAGTTCGACACCAGTTTGACTCCGAAAGGCCTCTTAAGGAATCTCCGTGGGGATGCAAATCTGGAGACTGGAAAGTCGGAGTTGATATGTGCCGTAACGTTCTTTCTGCCACAGGTTAGTGTGCAATAATATTTACTTTGCTCGCACGCATATGAGCCTTGCGGTTTTGAGTGCTAAGGAATTTGATCGCCTCACGTGTTTAGTGGAACGTAGCGCCACAGTATGTTCATTGCACTGCGTCCAGTCGGCTATCTGCCATGCATACGGAAGGTGCGCATGGCGGTGGACGAATCTACTAGCCACATCACCGCTATTTACTTGGACCCATCGAGTTTCACCTTCCCCGTTAACCTAGTCATCGAGATGCACCTTACTGATGGGTCACGAAAGGAAGAGCTGATCGTTCGACGTTGTTATACATACACAGCAAATCAAAAACGAAACAGGAAGATGAAGTTTTACGACTGCATGTAATTCTTTTCATCTCCTCATTTCCGTTAACGACAACTCACAGTCATGTCTAAGCACTAATGCCCACAACCATGCATACGAACAATCGAACGGCAGACGAAAGTTTTGTCTCTACCTCCGGGGCAGCTCGACAAGTGGTTTCGAGCACCAAACACTTGTCTACTCCGGGTTATCGCAACGGTCTCTGCGAAACGATGGAGCTAATGTTAGCATAACGAGGCAGGATTCCACAAGCCAAGTTAAGCTCCACTCTTTACCTGCAGTTACTGACAGTCTCATTTTGCAGAAACCGGTTGTGTAGATGAATATGGTGAGTAAAACATGCTTCACTTGTGCAGTCTAACATTGAATTCACTCCGCAGTCACATACCATGTAGTACACTCGATGCACATGGTCCTCGATATGATGAGTTTGCTTCATTTGGGTTAATGGCAACTTCTTTACTAGGTTGACGATAGCACCTATGACAGCAAAAAATTCTCTGCGTGTTATCGGTCGTGTATCCCTCAGCCAAAAGAGCATCACCTTTAAACGTTACAGCTATGCATATGTTCTTCTCGGCTACTGCAAGCACTAGATTCCTCATTCACATCAGTTGGCTATACTTTGTCATAAATATCCGAAGATGCTCACTTGCCTTTACGACGTTGGTAATCCGCTTCAGCATTTGCCGTCATCAGTATATAGCAATACATCCAATTTCTGTGCATTTATGATGTCATCTATTTTGGTGATGAAACATTGCTATTGCTATTCACTTGAATACCTGAACAGGCAGTCACAGCTGCCGGTATTTCATGTTGGATTATAGATATGCGCACATCTAGTCTCCACACAATAGCGCTCAGTTGCATCGAACGAACCTTCGGTTGTTCACCTAGTTGATTGAAGTGGGCTGGAAGCAGGGAACCTGAGTAGACGTGTGCAAGAAAGCAATAATAAACGGAGACACCAACACTTGCATATTTTCCATCATCTCCTATCTCTCTGAACGCATCTGGGAAGATGACACTCTCTGAATAGGCGATAATCAGAATTACGGAAGAATGTAGTGTTGTTTCTCAGTTTGACACTTCAACTATTATACCGCCAAGGCGCCAAACTCGGGTTAGGTGAAAACGACTGGGGCTCACGATCGATTCAACATATTCTCTGCAAATAAATCAACCACCTAGCCTTATCTTGTGATATTTACCTAGCTATGACATTGGCAAATATGTAAACCTTAAGACAATAGGGACAATAGTGACTTGAAACCTAAACGGAATAGATGTGCATTCCACGAGCACTCGACTATTCAGGCCGCGCCAGTAAGTTCGTCGATATGTTCAACAGCTGATGTCGACTATGTAAGTTTGATGGACAGCTTAATCTTACGCCGACCTGATGTTGACACTGCACTCCAACTACTTGAAGGAAGCTGCTTGATCCGACTAACATAAAACGGAGTAAACCGGGATTGATTGGCATGAACAGCTAGTCGTAAATCAATGAAACAAGTAGATCATTGGATTACATTGATTCTCTGTGCGGTAAAGTGGTTTATCAAAAATTTGACCTTTACCTGGTAATTTTCCACTGACTTCCAGGTTTAGTAACAGTGGCGTTGCCCATTGACAGGGTTACTTCAATGCAGGAATCGGTGGAACTAACCTCCGTTATCTGAAATAGACTGTCTTAAAACCTAATAGCATTTCCAAGCACATTAAACTTACTCAATATCAGTGTGGCTCTTTGAATGTTGTGATGCTGACCGTTTTCACCTCCCTTGTCGACCCATGCAGCCTTTCTACAACAAGGAGGGTTTGGACTGGTACTGTCCTGTCGATCGCAAAACGTGCTCGCTTTTGGTAAACCTGAGGCACTGATAAAGCCCTCTTTTGCGTATTCTAGTGCAATTCCTTACCCAGCGTGCTGTTTTTAATCGCCTCCAGCTTTAACGAATCTGCACAGGGGATTGTCATCCGCCATTCTCTCTTTCTAACCTTGTATCTGACGTTCAACAGGGACCACCGCACGCTGGCAGTGTTTTGACGGGCACCTGCATTCCGCTGTGAGGCCTGACATATACTATATATGTCGCACAAATCTGCTCAACGTTCCTTCTTTTGCAATTACGTTGGTTGCGATTAGAGGTGATTACATGGGGTTTGCTCCATGCCAAGCACATGAGGATATATAAACCTATTCGAAACTTGCTCGTGCAGTTTCGCTTCAGCCATCTAGCTATGACATGCTTGTTTTTGATCGTTCGCAAATAGATATATTGCAGGATAGTACCGTAGCCTAAATTCAACGGCAACAACGCTAGGTCCCCATCATTCGTCGTATGTCGGTTTCGCTATCATTCGTCTTGTACACTCATGTAAGGTACACACAAACACATTTGCACACCATATATATATATATATATATATATATATATATATATATATATATATATATATATCAGCCAATTGTTTGCAGTGGACGGCATACTTTTACTGCGACACCTGAGATGGCTCTGTCATGTGAGCCGTATGGATTCGGCGCGGATACCAAAACAACTTTTATATGGTCAGCTGAGTATTGGGAAGCGGCACGTGGGGAAACCAAAGTTACGTTACCAGGACATGATTAAAGTGAGCCTCACACGTTCTAATCTTGATTGCAGATCATGGGAATCGAAGGCGGTTGATCGGCGTGCGTGGCGCGATCTAATCACGAAGGCAGTTGCTGAAGTGCGGGAGAAAGCCCTCATGCATGCAGAGAAGAAGCGGCAGTTGCGGAAGCGGCAAGCACCGATGAATTGTACTCCATCGACATCAAGCGCATGGTGCTGTAGAACATGCGGTCGCGAATGCCTTAGTCAGGCAGGCCTAGTGAGCCATGAGAGAGGTCACTCGGGACCACTGCCGAAGCGACGACGGGTCCCGCAGTGAACGTAGGCAGCACCGGCGCAGCGTTTATAGGCACGCTGAATTCGATTTACTAACCGCATGCTTGCATGCAAAGTCTCTTTATTTCAGGTGGTGGGTTTTCGGTTCTCTCCTAATGCCTTTCTCATATAAATGTCTAGTGGGCCATGAGCTATGCCATTAGGGGCCACTACAGATGCGACGACGGGTCCTACAGAGAATTACGGCGAGCCGGCGCAGCGTTTGTAGGCACGCTGAATTCGATTTACTAACCGCGTGCTTGCATGCTAAGTCTCTTTACTTCAGGTGGTGGGTTTACAGTTTTTACCTTAATGCTTTTCTTTCTCATATAAATATCTCCCTGTACTCTATTTCATTAACTTGCACACATCGCTTCAGCCAATTGTATTCGATTTCCATAACATTTTTGTGTTCGTGGCATTCCGTGACCTCGTGCACTTAGCTAGGATTTGTTTGTAATCAACTTATTACATATGCTATTTAATTAAGGTTTATATCACCGTTTCCTTATGCATTAATCGAGTTTTTCTCTTTTTCTTTCTCTCTTTCAAGTGTTTGGCTGTTGTTTGATATCCCCGGTGTGGATGCGCTTGATGTGCATGTTGACAAGGTGCCTACCTGTCTATTACCCACTACCTCGTCCATACTGGCTCCAGGAGACAGTTGGTCGTTGCTGGAGGGGACAGGGTGCACGGTCCTTGTGGCCGTGTTAGGATCAAAGAGTGGTTCCATGCAGTCAGTGTGGAGCGGACTACGGTCCAGCCACCGCCTTGTGTGCGCTTGATTCCCAAATACAGTGTGCTTGTGTTTGCCTGTGAAGGAGTGTGGGCCGGCTCCGTTGATGAAACGTGGTTCCCATCCGCATGCCTCCCGGTCTTATTCCTTCGGGTTTACACTGGATATGGGGTATGTGGGTGGTGCAGCGCAAGCCATCCATGGTCCCTCTGTAGGCGCAGGCGTCCTGTGGCTTGCCACAGTGACAGGCAAATCCGAAACCGGATGCCGCCAACCATATCAGCCAATGTTTTCACAATTCTAATAATACTGTTCTTGAGAAACCAAGCATACAGATCAGATGTGCATTCATGCTATGATGCGGCTCTCTCCGCGCTCTCGTTTCCAGCCTTATGTTGTCACTCTTAGGCCGCCAGTATTTGTCTATTGTAAGGTCATCAACACTTTCTTTTGCTGTTCTTTTATCCGCATCACGCATGTTGAACTGGCACTTCTGTTCTCTTTCTCTCATTAGTAACTCCACGAATCGCCTCAAAGCTGATCTCACCCGGCGCCACCTTAATAAGTCCAACGTGTATTCCTACTCGTTAGACCCTTGGAACCCATCATGTCTGCCTTATGCACCCTTAAAGGACCAATTAGCGATACTGCACCCGCTCAACTTTCTCCCCTTCCTGTTCAACGCTCAGGCCGAATTTCCACAACCCCTCTTTTGGATTGTATCGCATTTTCCGATAGATTCAGATTGCGTTTTTCATTCGGAACATCAATTCTTCTGTTCATACATAATGATGCGATGGAATTCGATTGACCTCTGGGAAACATTGGTGCTTCAAGCGGTTTCATCCCTCAGTGCTTAATCTGAATGGGTCTTTGCAAAACAACCGCAACCCCACCTGTGAAAAGCATTTCACTGCCGTCGGCATCCGCCAAATGTGGCTCACTCTCATTTTGCCAGAAAATTCTGTTTATTTTCACTGCTTGTATTTGAAGGGGAAACCATGCATTTTCTCTTCGATGATGTTTGTGTGCCCGGGATGCCTAGCAGCATCGCAGCAATGTCGTCGTGCTGAATTTGTCGGTTTGTTGATCATGGACTAACATATTCGACCTCAGTCGGTTCCACAGAGTCTCTCTGTGATATACTATCTCAATCCTACTGTGGTCTTTTGCTGAATCCCGCTTTTCAGGCCGGTTTCGGGGTGGTTCAGACGTCTGGTTTATACTTCAGCGATCAAGTCTGCGTAACCGCGGGTGACCTGGCTGCTTCCATAGTTTGCACGTGACTGCTGGTGG